GATTTATTTCTTTCATAGTTAATGACTTTCCAACAAGCCTTTGCTCTATTTTCAGATGACATGATGAAATTGTCATATGCAATTTTTTTTGCAGTTTTCAACCTGTTCCCAGTAGCTATGTTTACTGCAATTGTATCAAATCTTGAGGTATTTTACGCTTCAAACGTCGCGCTCTGTTGTGGTTTGTCATAAATAAAAATTAAAAGATTTCAAACCAAGTTACTTCACGACATTTCGATTGTTTGTATCCACAATCGTCTTCGGGTGATGTCTTTTTGATTTTTTAACTGTATTGGTTCTTTCAGGAATTTCAAATCATATTAGACAATGGAAGTACGAAGTAATGGAATTAAATATCTCAATGTTCTTTATTAATAGAATTATCAAGTAACGTCTTATATAATATTGTGATGTTTCAGTGTAACATTAGATCCAGTACTATTTTATTTACTGTCTGTCCAAGATAAAGAGATATAAAGTCGGATAAATTGGTAAAAATCTAAAATTTTAGAGAGGTTATGTATATTAAGCCCTATATTTAGCTTCTTTTAAGTTATCTGTTGAGTCAATAAGCCCGATGGGGCAAGGGAGAAAACTCAGACAAAGAAAGGTACCTTCCCCTGCAGCAGCGGTGATTGGAATAAGTCCGAGGAAACTCTTGCCCGTTATAAGAGACAACAGGCAACAACAAAAAAGGATCTCAATTGAGTGGTGTTACGCAACACATGCCAAAGAATCCCCCATACTCGTGGGAACCTAATAGAACACAAATACCAAGAAAGGAGAAAGACTCTTCGATCAACTTCTCTGATTCGCAATGAGAGTTAGGTTAGGTTACACCTAGCCGACACACTGTCCCGACTCGACCTACCTATACTCCTAGCCTGAGGGGAAAAGAACGGCCTCCGGAGGCACACGGACGTTTAAAGCCCCCAGATACCAGTGCAATGGGACAGCTCACGTAGGCTGTAACTTCATAGTAGAACTGAATATGGTAATGAGACATATTTTTGTTCTGGGAATGAATGAAATGAGAATAATGAACCAATTATTCAGTTGATTTCAAAAAGCTAGTTACAGAAACAAACTGAGAGAAACGTTATACATGACGAATGTCAAATTGGAAACCATCAATTTCAACGAGCGGAGGCCATCAAAGTAAGTTCTTTCAAAGCACGGTAGTTAGAACTGCAAGTCTCACTCTTTAAGAGAATTTTTTTTCTAGAAACTGGAGAAATTGCACAGCTTGCACATGTTAGGATGAAGTCATTGCCATCTTCGTATTTTAGGTGGCCTATAATCGATAGCTGAATAGGAAATGTTGCAGAATCTTGTTCTGTGTAACCCATCGAAATCAACTTTGATTACCTGAAACTGGCCTTAAGAACCCAAGATAAGGCTTCACCTTGGCAAATTTCTTGGGAAATATTTCATAGTTATTGAAGGTGCCACAACAAAACGGATTGGGAAACATTTGCAATATTTGGCATGCCTCTTCAAATTGGTACAGATGATGCAATAGAGATCTTGGTCGAATCAGAAAATATGAATTCATCTAAAAATGAAATTGATGCCATCGGATATCATTCCTCACTCACTCACCTATGGATAGGCCAAGTGTGAACAACTTTGAAATGATTATAACAAGTGCTACAGACCGCGACCAATGTTTCAATAAAAATAATGTAATATTGAGAGATCGCATCGAATAAGAACACCTACTAGCCCTTAGACTTGTTTCCTTCGATTTCATAAAGTTTGAAATTGAACGAATCAATATCAGAGGAGCTCGTAGGTTGTATAGAACCAGCTCTTCAATAATATTGACCTATGCAAAGTATCTTTTGATTTTAGCATCCACAACAAAAGTCATAATTTGTGCCGTTTGTTCAGGTACAATTTTTCGATTCTTCACAAAAGCAAATTATTGAGGAAACTCACAAAACGATTTTACCTCATGTTAGGATGGAGAAAAAAAAAGTTTGATATTGACGTTATCCAAGTTACAGTTTCTCTCAAAAAGCTATATCTTCACAACCAAAAGAAGTATAAATATGACCGTTCAAAAGCCAAACCATGAAAGGAAATTTACTTTCAACTTGTTGGTGGAAAAGTTCCATAAAATAAAACAAATTATTCCATGTAACTGGACTTCTACCTTAAAGGTTACAACACTTTAAAATGTAGCAGGATGTTGATTACTTCAGTTTGTTTGACCCCTAAATATATATATGAGAGCATCTTGTTTTCATGATAACATTCATATTATCAGAAACATCATAACAAAATTTACTCAAAACTCTTCACAGTATGAAGAATCTGAGGAAAATACCCTAAAAATAACATTTTAACATTCATAATATAAACGTGTATATATATTTATTAATCGATCATAAAACTTAATAAATTACGATTGTATAGATATTAAAGATGATGGGAATATATGTTTCACGGCTGAAACTCAATTAATTGTCTATGTTAGGAAATTCCATAAAAGTATTACATAAAATCAATTCAACTTAATAAATAACGTATTAGACCACAACAATAAATTAAATCTAGAAAAATCATGTTTTCAATAAATATGATGTATAAAAATATTTCACCTACTTTTCATCTGTCAATCTTTTAAAAAAGTTACTTCGTACTGGCTGACAATCAGTTATGAGATCATGTGAGATAAAAAGCACATACAATTGAAAAAGTCAAGGTCAGTAATTATTATTGCTTCAGTAGATGTGTTCGTTTGATACATATCTGGGCACTCGATTAGTTTGCTTCGCTAGAGAAACGTTCGATAATGCAGATTTGTTGTCTCAGTTACAACTGCCCTGTGTTCAGTATCAGCTCCGAGATCAATGTTAGTATCAGACAGATATTTTAGTTGTCACTCGCTATACAAAAAAAATTGGTTGAGTTTTAGGTATTTTTTGTAAAATTACCAATTTTTGGTGAAATGTTTGCCATCACTATCTTCAAACAAGAATTCCCGACACATTCTCAGTGACTTAATAATGCCTTCTTCAAGACTAGTCATTCTCAAATAGATGTTTGTGTTCCAAAATAAAATTTATAAATATCAGAACTGTTGCAGAAAAAGAATTCACCATTCTTATGTAAAAATTAAATTAGAAGTTTGTGATGACATACATAATACCACCACAACCTCAACTTGTGATTCAGATAAAGGGCGCGCCAGCATTATTAACCAAAGACCACTCCTCACCCCGTGGGGTAAGTGATCATTGGGTCCGAAAATCATGTGCCCTGAGCAAGCGCAGTGAGCCAAGAATGACAGCCTTCTGCATCTGCCTGGCTAAGATTTCTGCTTTACTGCGGCAAGCCAGTATGATTTCAAGATTTGAGAGTAGAGAGGACATCATTCCACCAAGGACTCCAATAATCAGAACAACCATCTTGACAGAGTGATCTAGATAGAGTCTGCGGAGTTTGAAGAGAAAATCTCGATATTTTATCTGATTTCCCCCCTCTTTTCTGACAATATTCGTCTCGCCAGGAGTTGAAAACTCTACAACAAATATCGTTTTGCTCTGGAGGTCAAGAAGGATTACATCAGGCTTATTACCTTGTATGAGCCTGAGTGTGGGGAACGAATAGTTCCAATAAATTCGGCACTTCTCATTCCCCACAACAGATTCAATATCCCCCGGAGCGTAGGGCAACACCGGTGTCTTGTCAATACCGTAAGAGTGCTGTAGATGGTAATATAGCATTCTGAGGGCCGCGTTATGTCGATGGATATAGGCCGAGACCGCATATGCTTGACTTGCTGATAGCAAGTGCATTTGGGTCTCGGGCGCCTCGCGGCAGGCTCTGCACCTTGTGTCAGGAACCTCTATACCCATCACGCGACTGCGGTGTTGAAGACACCATCCTGGCAACCCATGATGAACCCCTCAGTTTCCGACTTCAGCCCACTCGACCTGAGGAAAGCAAAAGTCAAGCGCTTTGATGAGCCAAGGTCTCCAATGTTATTGAAGAAGACCCCATGCATTGGCTTATCCTTGTGTTTCAGCAGAAGTGAGGTTATCTCTGCGGCTTTTATATGAGCTTTTTGCTGAACGGGTTCCAACTCGGTGACAGAGTTGTGGTCACCTCGTACAGTGTCCAAAACTAAACCGAATTCATCAGCTGCTCAGGCAGCTGCCCTAAAGAGAAATGCTCCAATTCCTGTTCTCTCATAGTCACGGACCATGCAGAGAACACCCAACGAAGACCATTACTATTATTATTATTAAATATATTTCGCTCGACTGACTCTGCGATCACATGGTAACAAATCTGCATCTGCTCGTTTCCATTCTGACTTTTAAAAGCCACTAGTTATGGTTGAACTATTCAAAAAGTGATATAACACTCCTATTAACTGTAGAAAAATACAGTACTACAATTACTCAATGATATTTTTTTAAATCTCAACAGTTCATAAAATATATAGATTCATTATTGTCATTGTATACATTACAATGAAGAATATTGTAATTGGAGAACGACTTTTTGTGCTCAATGTGTTGGGTAAATGAATAAGAATAAATTTTTTTCAAAGTGTTCAGAAAATCATGAGCAAATTTCGGGCACTTGCCTTACAACCAAGTGAGTATGTTATCAGGTCTTGTAGTTAGGGGACTTATCAGTGACTGAACATCTTCTAGAATGGGAAACTCTTCCCCCAACTGTAAAGTAGGCACCAAGTCATCCGTCGAATCTATATTTTCACGCAAGCTAGACATGTCCGGAGTTTCAACCGCGTGGCTCTCTCCACCCACTTCCATATTGTCACCTAAAAAGTCTTCGGGAGTGTGTGGCATCGAACAGGTTGTACCCATACCTAGTCCACTATCTCCCGACTCCTGTCGCGAATGGTCAGTCAAACCAGACAAGAAGGGATCCAGAACAGGTATATCATTACTGCTCCGCATCAAGATTTCCTGATGCATAATTTCCTGCTGTCTCTGTTTGAGCCTCTCCCGTTCCATTTGTAGCTGTTGCAACCTGATTTTTTGGGCTGTGATAGAAGTCGAAACTGCCGAAGGCCAGTCAGGTCTTACTATGTTTCTTCCAGGAGACAGCTGTTGCAGATGTGCAGGAATTCGAGGATCAAACCAAGAAGTCGTACGTGTTCTATGGTTCATAAAATATATTTCACCTTCAGGAGTTTGTGCTTGCTCCCACCCTTCAGGCAACGGCCCTAAATCTGGATTAACTTTGATAGTATCAGGCGACTGCTGATGTGGCATCGATAGCTCCGTGTTGTGGTGTTGCTGTGCTGCAGTTTGGGTAACCAATAGTTTTCTTGGATCCTCCCATGTTGTAGTTCGCGTAATATGATTCAAATAATAAATCTGGCCTTCTGGGGTGCAAGCTTGCTCCCATCCAGGCGGTAAAGGAGTGTTATCTTCCGTTCTGACTGCCACGTCGTATGATCTTTGTTTAACATGATGGCCTACGTCTTGCCGTGGCCCTACAGCATGTGTCTGTTGGAGAGATGCTGGAGAGCTGTGTGCTCTGTGATGGGCTACCTGTTGGGGAACAGACTTGACGAGGGCAGTACCTGCAGAGCCACCCCCGAAGGCAGAATCGGCGGAATTCTCGCGAGAATGGTTTATCGATTTCGAACCTGTCGATGGTGGGGTAAAGAACGACTCAGGAAGTTTTCGCATGCTCCATGGCACTTGTAACGGTCTTTTAGAATCTGGTTTCAAAACACTGTCGAATAGTGCCTGCAAATCTGTTTCCGAGTCCTGATCTACCCTGATTACTTGTTTATCCTTGTCTTGATTCAGTGCCATCATGCCAGAAATTAAACGAAGATGAAATACATACCCTACAGGCTGGACAAAAATTCAACAAGAGCTTCTTTCAACAATTGGACTGGTAGATCTGTAACAACATAGATTATTTATTTGTAATACAATACTCTACAGGACATAGCCCAATTACAGAGCAGGAAATAACAGAGTATAATAAATACATTACAAACAAGTTACTTTAAAGTCTACAAACAAGTGACTATGAAGACTACACATTTTATATTTATTATAGGTGACAAAACAATTATTTTAGGAAGTGGGATTTTATATCTGACAATTTGCAACTTAATAAGTAATACGGAATACGCATGCGTCAAATTGATGGTTAGAAGATAATCCTCAAACCATTCTGATAGATTTCGAACAGGTTTGAATCTTGGATGGAACAGAAAACTGATAGTTTACTAATGGTTGGAAACTCACGTTGGAACGCAATCACATTACTGCGCAGAATCCTGACTTTCAGAAACTGTTCGTTGGAACGAACCTAATATATCTGAATTATCGCTAACAGAGTTTGTCACTTCACACATGGTATGGATCAGAGAATTCTCCAGAACATTTATGCAAGATGTTTTTATATAGAAAGTACTCGGGTGTCTGGAACAGATTCTAGGAATGCAAATATTGAACTTTTCCAGTAATGTTAGACAGTCAATTATGCTTTTGATAATTTTATAGATTATTATAACACTATAATATTCACGCCTTTTTTCGAGACTGAAAAAGTTACGCTTTTGTAGAAATTCAGAGTGGGTTGAGGATAAATGCCAACGGTTTTTAGGCTTAGCAGTTTTGAAAACCGTCGTTGAATTGCTTCTATTCTATCAATATGATATTGATAAAAGGGGCTCCACACAACTGACGCGTATTATAACTTTGATTTTATTAAAGCATAGAAAAGAGTTTTAAGGTCGAAGTTTCTTTGAAATCACTACTGTCACGTGTAATAATTAATCCGTACAAACGACAGGAGGAGGCTACAACATTATCGATATGCCTATTAAATGATAGTGCAGTGTCAAATGTGACGCCAAAATCAGTAAATGTTTCTGATCTTACCAGTGAAACGTTTTCTATTGAATAATCAAATATCACTACTACACAAGCGATTTATCAAGCCTTGCGCACAGTGCTAAATAGTCAAAATGAAAGAAAACACACTTTAATGATTTGTCTAGATCTGTCAAAAGCTTTCGACAGTGTCGACCATAATATACTTATAGGCAAGCTTAATGCCTATGGAATCGGGAGAATCTCAGCCGATTTAATAAAATCATACTTGCAAAATAGAACACAAAGAGTTGTTGAAAAATGCCACCTCACTAACGAAAACATACACTCTGATGAATTAACAATCTTGAGAGGAGTTCCGTAAGGATCAATCTTAGGGCCGTTGCTATACAGGCTGATTCACGGTGGATGGCACATTAGACGTTTCTGGTGAACCAGACAACGGATCACTTTGAAAATTTAATGGAGGGCATATTCGAAAATTCTCTAGCCAACTAAAATATTTTCGACAATGCGGTGTTGCCGCTTCTATTAGAAAGCCGTAGCAACTTTGATTTTTCAAATGGAACACTCTGTATATAA